TGGCGAAGTCCTGCGATTTCGCCGCTCTGGAAGAAGAAATGATCAGAGACCAAATCGTCGAGAGATGTCACTCGAAATCGCTGAAGCAACCTGGACCTCCAAAAGACGATGAAACTCGCACGAAGCGAAGAGGGCGCCGCGCAGGAGACACGTTTACTGTCGAAGGGCAGCCGAGACGACCCAATAAAGATTGACAAAATCAAAGAGGGTGGATACCAGAAGAAAAGTTTCAACTGCCATAGATGTGGCAGGTCAGACGGACACGCACCGAGTCAATGCAGAGCCATTAACAAGACATGTAATGCTTGCAAGAAGCTTGGACACCTGGCCAGAGTTTGCCGATCCAAGACCAAGGACGACAAGCCTGGAAAACGGCCGAGACCACACCATGGCAGTTCCAAAAACGGGCAGAACAGGCCTAGAATACGCAACGTGAAGTCACAGTGGTGCCAGGAAAGTTACAGTTCAGATACCGACATCACCGAACCAGTTCTATCGCTGAGTAACCCCGACGAGATGTAACGATACGTTTTCGCGCCCAAACTGGAAAAGCTGAATCTTCGCGGACGGAACAATAACAACTGGGGGAAATAACTCGGTAGAGACCACTTGGCAGCGAGAACGGAAACTCGTCACGATTTCCTGGAAAACGGAGATCTACTTCGAGCAAGCTTATACGGACGTTAAGGATAAGACAATCTTTGGCTCCACAGTACTTTTATTCTAGGTCAGGCCAACAAGTGACATGACCTCTAGCGTACTCTAGTTTGTAATCATCAAAGCTGTACAAGGTACTTGCTTAAGAACTAACTGGTGTGAAGTGCTATTGTTAACTGAATCGCAATATTTGAATAAGGACACAAAGGAGCGGAAAAAAGTATCTTTGAAGTTAAACGAAAACTACTTAAATATTCCATCTGTTTCTACGACGGAAAGAATCTCAAAATTAAAAAGACGGATGCAATAAACTCTAGGCCATTAACATAGGAAACTTAGGTGCGAATTTACAGCTCTGATATAGAAAAAAATACATATCTTAATTGCAGCAGCGCAGCTTAGGAAGTAAAAACGGAAAAGCAATTAAAAGTTCCTGCCTATCTATGCAAGGTTGGTTTGGAAACCATCGCATGAAAAGAAATTAGATTTACGAGTAGAAACTCAGCTGCTAACTACCATGAAAACCAATTTTTCCAGAAAGACCAACAACACTTATATTTACCTAAAAACCCATGTAATAAAAAACAAAAGTGCCGACAAGCAGGTGCATAGTAAAACGAAGGGACTGGAAATGGTTAAATGTGAAAGTTTACGAGTAAACATGTTCCAAACAAACACATGGAAAAATCAGTAAATTTTCCCGTAACAGAGAGCAGTTCAATCCAGATAAAGGTGAATGACAAAAAGATACGCATGATTGTCGATACTGGAAGTAAGTACAATATTATTTCTTCAGAACTGTACCGTTCGCAGTTTAGATATTGCGAGCTGAAACGAACTGAAAAGCGGTTCACCGCTTATGGACAAACAAAGCCATTAATGAGTAACGGATATTTTGACGTCACGCTCCGAAAGGGTGACAGTGTTGACACTACAGTTCTGTATGTAATTGAAGGTCACGGCGAATCTCTCCATGGAAGGGACTCCAGTTTTAAGTTAGGAGTACTTAAACAAGTAAACTCAGTTGGGAGTAGTCAAAACAATAGGCAAAGCGAACTAGTATCTTTGCTTCACGAATTTGATGATTTGTTCCATGGGCTGGGGAAGGTCACAAATTTTGAGCACAAAATTGTAATAGATCCCAAAGTTCAACCTGTCAGTCAGCACTTAAGGCGTATTCCGCTTAGCCAAATTGAAGCTGTCAACAATGAGCTTGATAAAATGCTCGAGGCAGATGTTATTGAAGAGTAGTTAAATCAACAAGGGATAATGAAAATTTTATTTACTACTAATTAAATACATTAATTGATAAAATAATTTCGCAACGTTGGCCGGGAAGGATGTAGTGTATTGATTATACATGTACCTATCTTAATTATTGACAACAACCTTAGTATGGGTTCTAAGATGAGCACTTTCTACTTAATTCAGTAAATGTACTACTCGCAGTAATCCTACTGTACTGGAAATACCTGCATGCTGTAAAATTACTATAAGTCAGTAAACTCTTATACTTGTATATGTGTAACGTGTTTATCAATAAAGTTCAGTTAGCCTTTGGCAATGAAGAAGGAATAGTCTCTCTATGTCTGAATGACGACACTACACCAGGTGACTATCACGAGCAAACACGGAAGTCTCGAACGACGCATGTATAGCACAACATCTCAGATTCGTAACAGCAGGCGACGAACGGGAAAAAATGGCCTCTTTCCGTTTTCGATACATTTTATGAATCCTGGAATTTCACTGACTTTTTCTTATCCCGTGTAAATCACTTCCACTTTTGTGTTGAATTTCCAGGCTTACATTACAGTAAGCCCTTATATGCATTTCTCGTCGCGTTGTCTATGTCTGTCTCACAGTTCATACGGTTCTAATGATAGTTACTGGCCGCCGCTTATCTGTCGAGCCTCACATCACGAAAGCACGATACATGGTTGGAAACGGCAGGGTGCCCTACCTTCTAAAAAGTCGTGTTGATATGTTCAGTTCAATTCCGACACGTTCGTTGACGACCATATTCAACTTTCGCATCTTAAAATACGTATAAAGCTGAATCAAACTCTCTTTTTCAGAAATAAACACTGCGTTTTTCGTAGAAAGCGCAAATTTTAAGCGTCGTCTCAGTAGTTTCTACTTTGTTAGGTCATAATTTCGCTCTTGTCAACACATACAAGCATATAATGGCTTCTAACAATGGGATGCATGTAAACCTTACCTTCGGCAGAAAACACGAAAAAGAGCACAGAGAAAGATTGTAAGTGAACCTGCCTCCATTACACAGGATGTCTTTTGTTATCTTTCACATCGATTGGGCTACTTTAACGCGAATAAATACCGTCTTTTTCAACATAAGAAGCGACTAGTCGATGGAACGAACCTCGCTCTGCCGATATTTCTCTGTAACACGATGACCTTGCAAGGTATCAATTACTGGTCTTAAATAATTATTGAATAATGGGTCACGCATTTCCGTCGAGCTCGGCCGGTTTGAGATTTTAGATTTTTTCAGTCAAGAGCTATCATAAACCTTCATTTTAATCCCTACGACGAAGGATTCCTGATGCTTTGTAAATTCTGTATAATATGTAAACTGTTAGTTCTCCGAACGCATCTGTCTGATAGAAAACCTCATCGATTTCCGCGTGATAATTTCTGAGAAATGTACAGAAATGCATTTCAGAGTTTGAACTGTCAATGACTTTGTTTACCAGAGTAATTCCGCAGGAACTAGGAAAAATAATGGCTCGTTCTTCAAATCTTTGATGTTACATCTATGCTTTTCAGTAGGTGAACGCTCAGTATTCTGCTAACTTAGAGCGAAAAAGTGGCAAAAGAAGGTCCCATTAATTGTAAGTCTTTCGATTGGCGACTTCGTTTACGATTTATATTGTTTAAAATTGCAAGAGAAACGGTATTGATTCATGATGACACTCAGATGCAAACGAACGCTTTCCACCTCAGACTTAGACCCACCAAAACAGCCACTACTTCCTTGTTTATTTTCCCACAACCATATTAGTCTAATATCGCAATGAGAGCTAAGTTTAACTTTTATATCTATCTGCTTAAAAGGATAATACACTTTTCACTTACACAAATTGGAAGTGGAAATGTAATCCGCATTTTTCTCTTCTTAAAACCATAGTAATAACAAGCTCATTATGATTGAGTTGAAAATTCAAAGATGACAACTGTTCTAGAACATAAATCAGAAACGGAGATATAATCCTCACGTTGCTCCTCTAAAAAAATGACAGTAACGAACTCATTATGCTTGAAAGCAAACTTCAAGCACGACAGTTTTGCTTTGGGCTCCTATTGTGTCGGGGAATATTAATTACGAATTAAGTCATTGATTAAATGTTTTAGTAAATATTAATTATGTCACGGAATTGTAAATGGCTGCATTAGAGAGTGTAGCAGATTTCATAATGTAGTAAATGAAGTCCGCAGTTGATTTACTGTAAGAGGGATGTTGTAATTGCACGCGTTTAGTCTGCCTAATAAGCAAGGGGAAACCTCGCCTCCGTTTCACCTTGGCGGGGGAAGGGTACGGCTACACGTAGGCTAGATTTAAACCGGAGATTCAGAAAAGGTCATCTGCGACTATTTTACAATATCAAGAGAATATTAACTGAGCTGATATTCCCTTAACAATAAATAACGTTAATGAAACGAACATGGCTATCACTTCATATTTCTAAGAGACCGCCTAAGGAGGGGGGAAGGCAGATTTTGGGTGATCGCATGGTTTTCATGAGAACAGAAGGAAGGATCAGCCCTAATTGACAGCCACTAAGGAGAGGGGACCATGATAAAAAAGGGGAGCACATGCCCACGACACTGTTATTCGCTTTGGAAATAAAGTTTGTTTTGAAAATTGAAAGTAATGCTTGGGGACGGATTCTTTACAATAAAACAAATAGAGAAGCCTTGACTATGCTCTGTTCTATTGTAAAGCACTTAGGAAGCGGCTAGGGCACTCAAGAAGTGGGGAGAAACATTCGACTACGTCTCGTGTTTCTCCCTACACTCCTTTCGCGCTCTAGCCGCTTCCTTCGTGTTTTACAATAGAGTAGAACACAGTCAAGGCTTCTCTATTTTTTAAGTGGGAAAAATACAGTTCAGAATTTATTGTACGAACAGAACATAACGTAAATTTTCAAACGGATTCAGTGTATTATGCAATCATCCATTGTAGAGGCAAAGCATCTTTTATAACAACACCTAAATACCTTCCTATTTGACGTGTAGTTTGCGAGTAAGCTACAAAATTGTTGTCATCATTTATATCTATATGCGACGGTGTAACAATGAACTCACTTAAAAACTAGAAATTAACAATCAGGAAGCATTATGTCATCATATATTTCTTCATTTGATCCCCTTTTGTTTCCTTCCTCGGGAACCACGTTGTAATAACCAGCGTTCACCTGGCTCCCTTGTGAGGACTGGTATTCAGGGGGGACTCGTGTTTGTCCTTCCGAAGGCCTGGGTCGTAGCTCCATATACGACCCTGGTTCTGACGCATGCTGCTCAAGTGGAAAGACAGACTGGACAGTATCTCTAATGGTGGCTTTCTTAGCAGTCGCTGGTCTGTTGCTCGCCTGAGCTCTTCTAAGCCGCCATATCAATACACCAATCAAAACAAGCAGCGGGAAAACGATCACTGACCATATGATGTCATTAGCCCGAAAGATGCTCTGTACATCTGTCCAAAAAGTAAAGAAAATATACAGATAAATAGAAGTACACTGTGTAAAAACAAATCCCTCGAAATCACATCATTCCTTATTATGAAACATTACAAAAAAAAAATGAAAACCTTCCTCTTTGAAAATAAGTCAAAACGAAATTCAAATTGGGTAAAAAAGGCAATTCTAAAGCTATAAGTGGCATAGAGGTTGACATTATTTGATCCCAATGCTCTAATCTAAATTAATTGTAAATCATGACCAAAAGTCTTGTTTGTTTATTTCGTTGTTTGTTTGTTTTTCTTTTCAATTTTTGTTTTGTCATGAGACCTTGCTTTTTATATATTAATTAAGTGTTTTGCTTCTTAATCGTTTCGTTTTGTCTTATCTTTTTATTTTTTTTTCGATTTTAAACGCACGTGCTTAAATTTTAGCCTACTGTAGGTTCCTCTGAAAATAAACTAAAAGATAACAATTAAAAACAAAAATTTTATTATCAAATTGAGGAGGCTCTATGGGGTTTTTTCTTAATGTGGGCGCGCGCGCCAGCGTAATGTTTTTCTATTAATTTTTTTAATCACATAAACTGCAGTATTATACAAGGATTTCCGGCCCTGAGAGAAGCCGTAACAACACACGTGAAAAAATATCGTATTTATTCACGTGTGTTGATATAGCCAATCAGCTGCTGACACGTCACTCGCCTTTGGCGCCACTCGGTCAGGTTGATGAATAAACGGCAAAGCCTTCACGATTCTCAAAGCAAGTTGTGTGCCGGAGCTTTCTCGAATTATGGCGGCTAAAACACTAAAAAATCCGTATTGCTGACAGACAATGAGTTTCAAACTTTGAGTAAAAAAATAAACCGAAAGTTGCGCATTCAGTGGCTTTGGTGTTAGCATTTCTCTCGACTGAGAATGAAAATCGACAACTGGAAGATTTGCCACTGGCCGATTTTGGCCGTTTATCTGAAAGACTTCTTCTGTCGGTAAGGACAAAGTCAATAAATGAGAATCTTGTAAATTGAAAATTACGACCATTGTTGCGTTTGTAATCATGATTCAACGCATTTTCCATCTTAATTAAGAGTCAGCGCCAACGCACTTTACGATTGCCATTCGAGGATTGTCGATTCGTTTATTTTCATTCATTATTGAAGCCGGCTTTTCTTCCCAATAAGGCGCTATTGTGTTTATATGATAAACAATATAATACATGGTTGTTTGTAGATATGGAATTTCTCTTCGAGTGTTTAACTCGATAGAAGAGAAATTCCATATCTACAAGCAACCATGTATTATTCTCTATACGATTTCGCTTTTCTAGGTCACTAGACATCATCAAATGGCGATGAGCAAGGTTCGGACTATCGTTTGCTGTAGCAAATATTATCAAAATGATTTTCGTTATTAAGCTAAGGCTTTACGAAGGGAGGCGCTCGCCAGTGAAAATTTGGCTTTGACTTTAATTTTCTTCAATTTGCCTCGCTGAAATCTCTCAAACTTTTCAGATAACAATCGTGCGATCGTGTTGAGCCGCCATGCTTGTCTTGCATGTTGACACTTTTAAAGCTCGCGCTATGTACGTACCCAGATCTCACGCGGTCAAAAAACCCTATAAAGCCTCCTTAAACGTTTGATGGAAAACATATCTGACGTAGCACGGGCGGCCCAAGCTCCAGCTGTGAGATGATCATCTTGCGAAAAAAGAGTCATGGCGAAATTATAAAAGTTTGCATGGGAATATTAACGACCGCCAGGAGCCCATTCCTCCGACCGCTCTAAGGAATAAAAGAATACAATCAAATTCTCAATAAAAATACCTAACGTTACTTCCACAGTGCATCGCTTGTTATCTGACCACTTACTATGTTGGAAAATCCAAGCACATATACTGTAGTTTCATTTCAATTCACTAAAAACCCCAATCCTCCCCGTGAAACCGACGCTAAACCGCAGTTTGCTTAAAAAATTTCTAGTTTAAACGTCACTAACGGTCTGCGTACACAGTCATTCTGACAAACGACCATTAAAAACTAGCTTGGTAACCCGCCTCCTTTACAAACTTTTCAACATTGTAAACGGTCAGATAACAAGCGATGCACTGTGGAAGTAAGGTGAGGTATTTGTATTGAGAATTTGATTGTATTTTTTATTCCTAACTTCGGTCGTAAATATTGCCATACAAACTCTTATAATTTCGCCATGACTCTTATTTCGCAAGATGATCATCTCACAGCCGGAGCTTGGGCCGCCTGTGGACGGAGTAAAGTATCCATAAACACTACGTACTGAAATCAGATAGAACTGTAAAGGATCAAATGTTTCTTGAACGTTGAGAGCGTTTAACATTGACAACACTTACTATTTTCCTCTTCTCTGCTTTCTGACAAAGTTATTTTGTAAGTTGTAGATCCAAATGAGTTTGTGGCGTGACACACATAATCTCCAAAATCTTGATCATCAAGAGGAGTGATAATAACACTGTTGTTCATGACCTTAATGTTATGGCCATCTAGAGCCTGGCCATTCCTTGTCCAAGAGTAGTTAAATGGAATGTCACTAGTCGCGTGGCATAGCAAAGAACACGAAGTTTCCTTTGCACATAGAACTGATCTAGGGGAAACGTCTTTCATGATGCTGGGTGGCACTGAGTTTAAAAAGGAGGTAAAAAGGTAAGATTCAACATCTTTCACACAGCCAAATAATAAGAGTAGGTGACGTTAACAGGAGAACGTTTAATAAAAAACCTCTAACACTTTCTGAAAGCTGATAAGCAGGGTCGGCCAGGGTTTTTGAGTATTCGGTATTCAGGGGCGTTTTAAATCGGGTATACGGTATATTGTAGCTTAAATATGGGTATTCAGTATATCACTTTCTTTGAATTTCAGGTATAAAGTATTCAAAGCTTCGATTATTTTGGGTATATTTGGAGGAATTTGGGGTATTTTGGGGTATTTTGTCGATTTTTTTTCGGGTATATTGGTATTCCACTACCCCCCCTGGCCGACCCTGGATAAGCATAGTTTCTACCCGTTATTTGAAAGTTCATGGGGTCCTGGGTTCGAATATTTCACTCATGAAATCTGACATCAATCGTATTTAGCTTCTGCTCGCATAAAGGAAAAATTTCATTTTGTGGCCAGTCATACCACAGTTGATGATACTTACCGGCGATGATCACTGCTGTAGCTGTTCGGCGTTGCCCAAAAATGTTTAATGCTCTGCATTCATAAATGCCTCCGTCACTAGGTGCGACCTCTTGAATGACAAGAATGTGGTCATCGTTTCTGAATTGAGCCCGTGGTATACTGGTATTTCCATTTTTACTCCATGTAACAGAAGGCTTAGGATCTCCAGTAGCCTCACATGTTAATACTACCACATCGCCAACTTGAAAAATGGTTCTTTCCGGTAGGTCTTTGACGGCGGGCTCGCCTGGTAGAATTTCACTAAGTTAGCGGCAGTTTTTATAACAATAACAAATCGGAAGGGTCATTTTCTCAGAGAGAAAAAGAAACTACCCGGGATCTACCCGCTAAAGGGCATATGTGATAAGGGTCTCAACGAATGCGAGAGCCTAACGGGACATCTTTCAGAGAAAATAAAGAAACTACTAGTCTACATTAAGTCACTCAAGCATATATTGTAGTCGAGACCACGTGCTCTTGCGGATGTGAAGGTTTTGTGTTCAAGTAGCTTTACTGCGTTTTTCGCAATTTTTCTTCTGGCTTGAAAATCTCGTAAGCAGTAATTTGATTTCATTGGAGTTTGCGTAGTTTTCGGAACATCTCTCAGTAATCCAAACGAAGTTTACTTTTGGTAAGAAATTAGAAGCAAAGAATCCGATTAAATTTTCCCAGTGAAGTATTCAAATCAAAGCCACATTCACAGAAGACAAACGAAACATTTGAATAAAATTACATCTATCTCGTCATATTTAGGTTGAGACAAATCAAGTTTCGAATTTCAACACATAGTGGCCATAAGTGGATATAATGCTCATTGACTGAGTTTGGTCGGGCCGAACGGGAAAATATTTAGCTCTCGGTCGTGATGTAAGGACCGGGCGCGACTTTTCTGGACCACTCACATAACGAAGTAGAGGAAAACCGAAGAAATCTTGGATTACTCTGACATTTAGTTGAAAGTTGTTCTTAGACCTGAACACGTATCCGGTTGTTATGGTTTATCAATTTATCAGTTGTGAAGAGATATCACTTCTAAAGGAATCTCCAAAATAAAGAAACACAATTAATATCCTTAAAGTAGTGAGCATAAAAGAAAACAACAAAAAATGCACAGAACAGTTATGACATGGTAAATTTCGGAGTTGCTCTTCAAGAGTCAAGAGTAAGATATGTGTGTGTTGGTTGCATATTTTTTATTAATTACGTAACCTAGTATGTCTTGAGCACTTTGTCGACAGAAATCTACTAAACAACTGGACGTTTGTTTAAGCAACTTACCACCTCCATCTGTCTTCCTTTCCACAATTTCACTCCGACCGCTGACACCCTTGCGGTTAAAGCCCTGTATGGCAAACTGGTATGATGTGTACTCATCTAGAGACGCCAACACTAAAGAAGTGGTCTCCGCTCTGTCAACAGTTCTGTTCTTCCACGATACCTTTGGCTCGCTTTTTCTCTTGTACAGAATGTAATAGCCCAGTATAGCACCTCTAGCATCTTGCTTAGCGAGCATCTAGATTGCAATGATAATAATACTAAATTGTGACGAGGAAGCCAAATAGATTAAAACCAATCAACAAAAATATAAAACTGCTACTAGTTTTAACAGGTTCAGTAATAATTCACTCGCACAGCATTTTAACCGTGATCCAAAATTTTATATCGGTTTTCAGTCTCTCCTAACAAAAATTGGTAATTCCATGATAAATATTGATATCTTTTAGCCACAATTACTTGATAAATATACTACATGCTACACCTCTTTCTCAAGTGTATTGCAATAAAATGCAATAAATTCAGTTCTTTGGCTCCTACAGCCAGTTCAAAAGGTGTTTATACATTCATTGTAATATTAGCACAGTTGTGGCTGCTCGGAAACCACACTGAATTGGTAAACGAGCCACCAATAACTGTTGCAAAAAAGGGGTCCAAACTGTGCGCTGTGCATGTCTTAGTGTTGTCTTTTTCTGAGTGTTATAGAGAAAAGCTATTTAAAGAACTTTAGATAACGGTGTAAGTGTACCAGGAAACTCTAAAGTGGGTCTAATACCTGCCAAGAAACTTGAACAGCAGTAGAATTGAGGACAGTCACATTAAAAGGTTGAGGAGAGCTTGGTACTGTAAGCAAACAATAGCACATTTCTCTTTGAGTTAAAAGAAATATGTAATTGTAGTATTGAGTTTTTCTAACAAAGCTAAATTGCATAATGGCAATATATTTCCACTTAACAAAGTCAACTTAAGGCATAGGGAAAGCCTAATACAGAGTTAAAAGCAATAAAAGCCTAACACTAACTTAATACGTTTATCAGTTCTTAAGATACCGTTGTGGAAGGAATCTCCAAATACAGGAACGAAATAAAATGTATCAAATGAAAAGGAACTTAAAATGAAGAAAAAGAGCACCTTCTTCATCGGTAGTAACATTAACTACAGAGCTGTAGTTACTTGAACCAATCATGTTCCTGGCAAACACCCTGAGGTAATATGTTGTCCATGGAAACAGCTCTTTGATAGAAACTCTAGTGGTGTAAATTACACAATTATTCCTTAAGAGTGTTCCTTGACATATGGCATCTCTGAAAGTCTGCTTATCCTCTCTGATTTCCACTGTGTAGTTCTGAATGGCACTGTTTCCATTAAAACCAACTGCCCAAGAGATATTCACTTCCCGTGATCCACTTGAGATCACTTTGACATCCTTTGGTGGGTCTGGTACATCTATAGGAAAAATAAAAACGAAAACGAAAACAGAAACAAAAAAGAACAAAAAAAAGGAATTGTCGTTAATGATTGCTAAACTTCGAGAGTTCTTTTCTCCACTCAAAAGTCAAGGACAGGTTATAGGGAGCAGGTCGAACAGAGATTTGATAGGCGAAAGAGTACCAGTTTTCAGTGACGTCTTTGAGAATATCGATACTGATTAGGTAAAACGATATGACTTCAAACATTTACTGATAGCTTTATCAATTTTTTTTGCAACGTTTTCCTCTCATATCATATTACGGCATACAGCTTATACACGCAACAAAGTAATTACAATATATTACTGCATGTCACAACAATACAGGGCTTTTGGAACTAAACTGCGCAATATCTGAAACATTTAAAGCGGATTACTTACACTGCACTGTGAGGGCAGCTGCAGATGAATATGATATATTCTTGCTGTTTTCAGCTACACATCTGTATTGCCCTGAGTCTGAGAGGAGAACTTCTGCAATTTCTAAACTGTGGTTATTGTTCCTTGAGGAAAAGTTAAATCGACTATTTGCTGTTACATTCAGGTATTCTCTGTCCTTTGTCCAAAGAACACCGGGTGTTGGGTTCCCCACCACTGAACAACTGAAAGTCACATTATTTCCTCTTACTATTGTGACATTCCTCAGATGTATGGATATTTCAGGTGCAACTAAACAAAAACATACTTAACAATTAGAAAATCGTGCAATTTGGTAAGTTTCAATGATATGAGAATTATCAAACGGAAGCATACTCCATGTTTTTCTCAACGCGAAACAGAAATTATTATTCGATTGCAAGCTGAAAACATTTACTCAAGTGTACATAGCTACATAGTAGTGCGGTTTCAAAGCTTCTCTAACTTTTCTCCCTAATTGTTTCGCGTGTCAAATTTTTCTCAACTTGTTTCTGTTTTCTCTTTCGTCTGTAATTTTTAGAGTCAAACGTACTGTGACCATCTGCAGCAGACCTGTTTGCCGCTTGACGTAATTCGCAACCCAAGAACGAGCCACAGTACAAAACTGGCGACCTTCAATTTATCTAAACTGGGAAGCTTAAAAGCCGCTGTTTAACTAAGAAAAAAAATCGGGGTTCGTACACCTTTTTTTGGACCAAAACAGTACGACCTTTTTCTAGGACTAACGAGCCCTAGTCAATGATCCAAATAACTCGTTGCTTCGTGAATGTTTCACTTAACTTACACTGGACATCTACAACAGCAGCCAAAGACGTATCATTTCCAAGGCTGTTGGTCGCCACACATCGGTATGTTCCGCTGTCTACTCGACTCGCTTTGGTGATTGCCAACTGTTTTTTGTCTGTTGAAAAGCTGATCCTGGGATTGTTACTTATGTCAGACCCGTCTTTGGTCCATGATAGAGTAGGGAGCGGATATCCGAGAGCATTGCAATGTAACGTAACGTTTTCTCCTTCTGTTTTTGTCACATTACCAGGATGAGTGGTAATCTCACTTTTATCTACAATTGTAAAACAGTTGCGATGAACATTAGCGACAATTGCGATGAACTTAGCGACACTAGCTATAAGCGCCAACACCTTTTTTGAATTCTACAATTCAGTGGTCGTTAATGGTTACAGCCGACACGGCTGAACCAATTGAAATGACCTGCAAGACCAAAATGACTGTTTTCCAGACCTTCGGGCTGACTTTCTAACGAATAAGTTAGAAGAATTTACTAAATACTTTACTGGGCCCTACTTAAAACCGACTCTGGCTAGTTGGGTTCCTTTATTAAATGTTATTATTATTATAATAATTATTACTATTATTATTATTATTATTATTATTGTTATTAATACTTACAATATACAACTAATATGGCAGCATCTGAGATGGCATTACCAATGCTATTGACAGCCACACACCGGTAGTTTCCGCTGTCTGTTCTGTACACATTTATTATCGTCAACTCGTTGCTCTTTGCTGAATAACTGATCCTGGAATTATTGCTGATAGAATGTCCATCTTTTTTCCATGATATTGCTGGTAATGGATTTCCAGTCGCGTTGCAATAAAAGGTCCTGTTTTGTTCTTCCTTCACCGTGTCACCAGAGGGATTAGTGATAATTTCCGGTTCATCTGAAACGAAATAGAGACGGACATGAATTTTATCCTAATTCCTTATTCACTCAGTTTCTCTATACAAATGGTACTTAGTTAATTATTCTGAAAGGTATTCACCGTTCGGTCTCCATTTAAGCTAGCAAGGACTGAAGTGTCTGCCTCGCTATCACTCAGCAAATTTCTATCCCTACCTTTTCTAAACGAATGAACGTCAAAATACAAATAAATCATTATTTAGGAAAAATCACTCTTGGTAATCTCTTACTGGTTTCGAAGCGAACAGTTTATATGCTTGTAATATTTCAAACAATGGCAAAACTGAAACGTAGCTTCAGCAACATAGGGGGGCCTGCAGGACATTGAAAATGTCCATAGAAAAGATGTAAACATGGCTTGTGACTTGCAAGGCTTCATGCAAACAGATATTTTTCACGATTATGTTACTATACAACAGGTTGTGGTCAAATTCTTGAACAAATATTTTTGCGTATATCTTGAACAAGTGTTCGGTACAGTTTTTGCAAGATGATGGAGATATAATGGAGTTATCAAGCGTATTTTACAAGGAGAAATTTCTTTCTCTTTTGTTTGTTACTAATAACTGTCATTTAAGATGTGCTCACTTCCAACGTATTAACATCCCTAACCCTTTAACTCCCAGATCAAATTTGTAATTCTCCTTGATGTCAACCATAAAATTCTTATAATTTTAGTTCAGAGAATTTAGTATTGGATCAAATAATTATTGCCTAATTGCTATTTTTCTTTATTCTCAATACTTGTCTGCATAATACTGCATTAACACTGTAAGGAGAATTTCTCTCTTGGTCACTCAAGGGAGTTTAAGGGTTAAAACATATTCCTGAACACCTCATTATGGCCATTCAGGGGAGAGTTTGTTCTCAGACTAGATTGTTTCCTAAGAGCATTTCGTAATCGTTTTCGAGGTCTCAAAAGAGAAGACTTTAAAATATCCATTTCACCGTAGACGTTACTTAAAGGTATTTTCTACTCGACATATTGTATTGCTCTGTTCTGTTTGTAATCGATATTTATCTGCAATTGCAAAAAAACTTTTATCTGCAATTGTAAAGCAATTGCAATGAACATTAGCAACACTAGCTATAGGCGCCAACATCCATTTTAATTCGAGAATCAGTGGTCGTTAATGTTTACAGCAGACATGGCTCAGGTCATCTCAGGTCGATCTACAATGTGCAAAAAAACCACTCATACCTCATTCAAACCAAAGCGAAAACATGTTTTAAAGCTGTTTTGTTAAACACGGGTTTAAGTTGTTTACTTCCGAGAGACTGCTTAAACCGATTTTTGTCGACTTCAAATTAAGCATATTGAAAATACAAGTGACGACTTGAACTTATGGAAAATATGTTTTTTTAGCCCTCTGTGTCACAATTTTATCCAGTTGAACTCAGTTTACTTAAATATGTTTTGCTGGTGTGAATAGATATTAAAAACTGTATTTATATGTTCTTGTTGGATCAAATAATTATCACCTAATCGCTATTTTTCTTTATTCTCATAACTTGTCTGTCTATTATTGCATTGGCGCTGTAAGGAGAAATTCTCGCTTGGTCACTTATGGGAGTTAAAGGATTAAAGCATATTCCCGACCACCTTATTACGGCCATTCATGGGAGAGTTTGTTCTGCGACTAAATTATTTCCTACACGCATTCCGTAATCGTTTTCGAGGACTTAAAAAAGATCTTAAAATATTCATTTCCCCGTTGACGTTACTTAAAGGTGTTTTCTGCGAAAGCGACTTTGCGTATTAAAATGCTCTGTTCTATTTGTGATCGATATCTTAAAGTACAATCCAACAAACTCACATTCCATATTTAATTGAGCAGCTTTTGATGTATCGTTTCCAAGTTTATTGCTTGCCACACATCTGTATTCTCCACTGTCATTTCTGTTCACATTCGTTATCGTCAAAACTTTATTGACAACTGAAAAAATGATCCTCGAATCGTTAGTTATGGGCGATTCATCTTTAGTCCATAATGTTGTCGGTAATGGATTTGCAGTAGAATTACAAGAAAAGGTCACGTTTCCTCCTTCTTTTATATCCACACTTTTAGGATGAGAAGTAATCTCAGGTTTATCTGCAATTTTGAAATTAATCTTGTTAGCAAAGGGCAACTAATAAACAAAACGTCTGCATAGAAATGCATACATGACTGTACATCCATTTTATGTTATAAAAAAAATCATATAATGAAAGGTGTACTGCAGAGGGTAGGAGCAAATGCTATTCAAAGGTCATGTTTATTAGACAATAATTATAACAAAAGTTGACGGAAACAAAAAAAAGGGTAAATTGGAGGGGAAAAGCATGAAAGCTGCCGTCAGTCGACGTCGAGTATCAAAACGCTACTCATACCCTCGTAAGAGAAAGTAGAATATTCTTACCAAGAAAGAATTGAGATGAGAACTTACATTGGATGTCAACGGTAGCAACGTTTAAGGTATCATTTCCCAGGTTGTTGTTCGCCACACATCGGTAGTGGCCGCTGTCTGCGGTTCTGCTCACATTTGATATGGTCAACAGCCTGTTATGTTTTGAAAACCTGATTCTGGAATTGTTGTTTATGGGAGATCCATCTTTGGTCCACAATATTATCGGTGTTGGGTTTCCAGTGGCATTACAAAATAAAGTCAAATTACTCCCCTCTTCCTTTGTGATATTCGCTTGAGGATGAGAGACGATTTCAGCTCGAACTGCAATTTCAGAAAAATTTTTCTTTGCCATGGACCAATAGGAAAAAATAAATAAGGCATGATAACAAATTACGTTATGTGACCACGGTTTGCTTTTTCAGCGTAATCTTTGCTACACGGACCGGCTCTCAGACAACCAACTGATCATTCCTCAATCTTTCGGTTCAAGGACATAAAGTGGTGCTTTATGTGTACATGAAACGGTTCCAATTTAGAATGTATGTTGCGATATCACTTACTAACAAACCGGCCACTATATACACTAACGTACGATAGCAACTGGCATTTTCAAAATACAATACTAGTCACTTCCCATCGAGACAATTTTCTCCTCGTAAAACATGAACTAGACTAAGAGTAAGTATATCAGTAATTAGTTAAAAATCATCGGAATACTTTATTCTGTGTAAAGTACGACTATAAAATGCGTAATTTTCGAAGCATATCTAGGTAATATAAACTAAGCTTACCTTGGTAATAAATTAAAAGCAACAAATTCGATCAAAATGAACTGCATTTAAGCGGGTTAGTAGATTTAATCAATATAATCACACGAGAAAATGAAAAATTCGAATTAAATAACAATATCGAGATATCTTGCTTAAGGAATGGACTGAAACAGTGAGTCTTAATAAATTTAGCTTAGCAAGACCCTTCTCTCGCATTCAAGATAATCAATCCGCTTACAGAGTGAACATCCGGAGATTTTAACTGATATAATCGATGCGTGGCCAGGGCCTATACCTCGTATATGGAAGTCAACGAAGTTGATTTCCGCTTCCAAATCTGTTAACATTCTGTCTTCGATTAAGGAAATGACTTTCATATATTCACAGCCAAATATTAGATGTGTACAATAGTTGAATCCAATCGAATTTTCATTGTTTCATTTATTTTTCATCGTGTCAATCATCAAATCATCAAAGGCTAGTAGCTACATCTATGATGACGTACAAAGCTCTACACGAATTTCCCTTACGAAGATGCAAAGGTGTGTAACAGCCTATTCCAAGGTCTGAGTTCTGCAGCTCCCTTAAATGAACTCAAACACAGACCATTTCATCCCAGTTTCGAATGAAACAAACGGCCTGTGTTTGGGCTTCCGTTGAAATGCCTATTACCTCCTTGAGTAGATGAATAAAACACTAACAGTGATAGGACGAAGAACCAGTGAAAAATACTCTCCCTGAAGGTAAAAATTCCGACAAGAAGATCCTCCATGCTTAGAAAGCATAGTTTGATCCAAAAGGAAGAAGAAAGAACTGCCAATGAAAAAATAATCATTGCTACAGCAGCAAAAGCAATTATAATGAGGTATCTGTATGGCGCGCTTTCTGATTGGCTGAAACAGCGTGCTTAATCAGAGTAGATTTTTCTGCCGAGCTTGAGGGAGCCAAGTAAATACTCGACATTTCATGATGGATTCATGGCACATCAAAAGGACTGCTAGTGCTCATTCATGTACAATGGCTAATTTAAGTCACTTACACTGGACATTAATCGTGGAAGCGTTAGAAGTATCCGTTCCAACTCTGTTTTTCGCTCGACATTCGTAATCACCACGGTCTATCCTGTTCACATTCCTTATTGTCAACTGTTCATGGCTTGGTGACAAAATGGTACCGAAGCTGTTATTTATAGGATATCCATTCTTGTACCATGATATTGTTGGAACTGGATTTCCAGTAGCGTTACAGTATAAAGTCACGTTTTGACCTTCTCTTGTTGTGATATTTTGAGGATGCGTCGCGATCTCAGGTTTATCTGAGGATAAATACAGTATTATCATATATTAAATATTAAAAAAATAATACAAATTTCCATGTTCGTATAAAATTAATTGCTTTCCAAACGTATTTAACAGTTCTCACCTTGTCCGTTGTTTAATTTACTGCTCATGATAATTAAATTATGTCTACATACGTGTTACTCTGATCAAAACAAGAGAAAATGAATTTGGAGGGCCGGCTAATTGTTAATAAGTTCGTTAGATATTGCGTTTTGGTGCAGGAATTGTACAATGCCTATATAACAATTTCTATAAATTCGTGTGGTAATCTCACAATAGACAGCACCAAAAATAACATACAGTAGACAGTAACTCATGAGCAGTTTTCAAAGACGATCTTGTTGTAAATGTGGTACGGGAAATACGTCCTCGTCAGTTGGAGTGGTAAAATTGTATTCTTACCTTATGGTTTTAAATTTGATATAGCGACTCAAACCAATGAGCGATTAATAAACGTTACTAAAGGAAATATTCTCCACTAATTGGCTAGTTCAACTCGTTATCATTTACCTTCAATTATGATCATTGTCGTATCCTGAGTGCTGTTTAAATTATTCGTGACTTTACAGGTGTAATTTCCTCCATCCTTTAGGGAAGCTGCAGTGATTGACAACTGTATTTGACTCTCATTGAAAGATGGAATTGTCACTCTTGAATCATTAATCAGCATTGAAGTATTTCCAGCAATCACAGTTCCTTCTTTAATCCATTGCACCTCAGACACTGGTGACGACGCTTCATACCGACATATCAGCCGGATATTGCTGCCTTTGGCCATATATTTTTCCTGATTGCCATCAATTGTAACCTGGGGTTCAACTGAAAAGTAAATAGCGTCGGTGTTAGAGCCAATAAATAATTCGAACGTGCGGCATGCTAATCTCGCTTTGTAGCTTTGTTGATGTCGAACTACATTTAACTTTTTAACAAACAAATGATCACCAGTCGACGGCCCATGAATTTCACAACAGGCAAGTACTGGACAAGGTGATGAACAAAATGAAATAGATCCGATAAAATTTTTAATGAAATAAGTAAGAAAAAAATATTTCAGAAAAGACTAAAGTTGCACTGCCCATTTCGGCGTCAAGAGCGTGCATCCAAATGTAAATTGTGCCTCTGGTTAAAATAATAGACCATTTCATCCAATTTTCGACAACGGAAGAGCAGAGATATGACCGCTTGATAATTAAGGTTTCAGGATGTCAATGCAACTGAAAAAGATTATAAATATAGTTATAACAAATAAGACCTGGAAATAAATATAGGTTATTCATCAGCCAAGGTCGGTCCTTATTGGGTAAAACTGTGCCCTCTGTCTTGGATACCGCCCGAGGCCTACGGAAAGGAAAGTATTTTCCGAAGACAACGGATTAGGTTCAGTTAACTAATCAGAATCGGAATCATCGCTGATGATGATTCTTCTTTTCGTGAGCTTCGCGGACTTTGGGTTTTCTTCTTTTTCACGGGCAATGTTGAACGTGAAGGTGCAGCCTTCAATTTTCCCGATGCAAGCGCCTGAGAAAACTCCTGATTTACTGACATCTTTGGGAAGATTCGCCGGCAAAGTGGTGTTCTCGTGGACGCTTACTGTCGATGTCTGAGTACTTTCTCGGCCAGAGCGGCTTAAAATTAAGGACATTTTCCGCTGATAGTTGGCGTACGTTGCTTTGTAAGAATCGAGGCTCTTCAAATTTCTGTGCCCGCTTAATTGAGCGACGTAATTTATGGGAACCTCTGCATCCATCAGGCGAGATATACAAGTTTTTCGAACACTGTGGTTGGTAAAATTTCCCTGCAGGCCCGCTGATTGTGCAGCTGTTTTCAACAGCTTACCAATCTCGTTCTTGCCGAGTGGTACCCTCATGTACCAGATGTTGCTGCCAGCTCGTCGCCGATAATTTATGGCCAAGTAAAACGGGCTGTCAGCGCTATTAATTTCTTCTGGACGGTGACCCTTGAATTCCTTGTAATAGAAAACTGGACAGCGTTCGTTGTTTGTTGCTTGCGCGGTGGGATTAAATGCTCGTTTATCACCATTGCCGCGGCGGGTCTTGGATCCTCTTTCTGATTTCCAAATCAGAAATTCCTTGCCCGTTTCGTTGTCTGTTTGAAGGACAATTTCGCCCCATTTTAGTTTCCTGCTTTCGTCTCGTGCACGGAATCCAAAGTGCAGTGCCAATAACCACCAGACTGTTGCGTTGGAGGGCTTCAGGGCTTTCAGCGCCAAATTCACCAGTGCGAAACAACAAATCTTCTTCAGCGTTGGATAGTTCTTTTGCAGCATGAGGGCGATTTCCTTTGGCTTCTTCAAAAACCAGCTGTTTCTTTTTAGAAAGAAGAACTTCCCTGGACTTAAGGAATTCTCGGTCCTCGAGAACGTTCAGTTTGGATTTCTTGTCGTTTAGATATCGTTGCAGGCTTCTTTGAAATGATTGTAGCGTTGCCGGCTCATACGATCCGCCATCTTTCTTCTTTATCTCCACCAGGAACTGACATATCAAGATGTTGAGCTCGTCTGCCGGTATTTCTTCAATTTTCCTGGCCTCGCCCACCTCAAGAAAGAATCTTTTCCAAACGTGTAGGTCGTATTCTGATTTTTTTACCGTGTTTTCTGGACGTTGTGTTAAAATATACTTTTGCCCACTCGCCATCGTAAACTGAGCATTTGTTGGTTTTTTTTTCTGTTGCGAACCAATATTTTCTTTGTCACTGAATTTTTCTACCTCATCGGGGTAATAAAACTCGCTCTCGCTGTGGTCTGAGTCCATGCCGAAATAAATATTTGCCGTAAAAAGCAAAAATTTTACACGATAAGTATCAAATTAGTAAATGAAAAGTTGCAACGACGCAATTGATGTAATCTCATCACGCAAACGATCGGATACCGCCCGCTGTGAGCGGGCCGGATGGGGAGAATACTGCCCGCTCTCGGAACCAATCAGATTGCAGGATTTGTTGAATACCGCCCGCTCACAAGCTGAGAAAAAAATAAAAGAGTGTACGACACTTACAAAGAACATTCACTTTGGAATTTGAGGTATCATTTCCAACTCTATTTCTCGCCACACATCGGTAATCACCACTGTCCGTTCTGCTTATATTCGTTATTGTCAATAACTTATTGTCTTGTGAAAAGTTGATCCTAGAATTTCTGTTCATGGGAAATCCATCTTTGACCCAGGATATTGATGGTTCTGGATTTCCAGTGGCGTTACAAGACAGGGTTATATTTTCTCCCTCCATTGGAGTTTTTCCTTCTGGATGGATGGTGATTAAGGGCAGCTCTGTGTGAAAAAGCAGCAAGTATTGTTAAATTTAATATTCAACATCCCCTCTTAACATAAGTGATGGAATGAACTGGTGCTTCATTATGCTTCATTTTGTATTTTCAACCAAGAGGCTAAATTTTATTTTCTCAAAACAGAATACATTAGTAGTTTTAACTTGTAAAAGGTATAGAACAAACACTTTATCCCACATAAGAGAGCTCCTGATTTTCTACGACAAAAATGAAGAAGATTGGGCTTGATAAGCATTTCTTACAAAGTACTTTTGGTGCTCCATGTGAACGATAAGGTCTTCGCCTGTGATTGAGTATTTTTTGTCGTAAGACGGACTAGTTCCATCTCGAAGATCTATGAGTAGCTGAAGATTTTGAACTAATTCTTCCTGGTTGCGAAGATTCTGTTGTAACGTCGCATGGGCTACAGTTCACGCACTAACAGGGCTTCTCTCTCGAACTCGTCCTCATTCCCCTCTCTTCTCCAAAATAAAAAACAAAAGTCCGCCTCTCCGTTAAAAATATCACATTCGGATGGCGAGGAAATTAAGTAGTCTTTCTATGTCTCCTTAGAGCGCTTACGGTAAATGAGATTCCTTACGTTCCATGAATTTAAATTTCCAATATCCGAAAAAGAGACAAAAGCAATTGTAAAGTGCTTAGTAGCATTCAGTACCTTGGCTTATGATTGACGTCATCTGGGATGAGTTACCCACAGCATTAATAGCAAGGCAGGTGTAGTTTCCAGCATCGTGAGAGGTACTTTGATTTATAAGCAACTGTATTTGACTTTCATTGTAATATGAAACAGTAAGGCGGGGCTCGTTGACCAGCAGACTAGAATTTCTAGCAATCACATCTCCGTCTTTTATCCACTGCACTTCAGACACGGATGGCACAGCATCGTATTCGCAAAGGAGTTTCTTTATTTTACCAACAATTGCAAATTGTTGTGGACCACCAATCATCGTGACCCCAGGTATATCTACATTGTAAAACGAAGCATAAGTTGCATACGTAATTAATAAATATCTTATATTTTCAAGAACCAGTTTCATATATTCAACAATTTAGTTGCGCACCGTTTTGGTACTAACAATAAAGGGAATCCTTTCGCGTGTAAATAAATCTGGAATCCGCTATTGAAGGCCTTTAGGCAACTTGTCCTACGCCTTCCAAACCAGTGTCAACTAGGGAGCATAATTATGTACATCTTTGTCATCTCAACCCCATAGTTGTTTGATCCTCAGACTTTAGTCAACGAGACTCTGATGGGGGTTCGAAAATATATGATCTAGTGTTTGTAACATTTTAAGGCCAAGTGACACTGACACGAGAAAAAACATCAGGTTTCACTTATTAAAAGCTCATTACTTACAATGCACTCCCAATGTGGTGCCATGGGACGTAACATTGCCAAGACTGTTTTTTGCCACACATCGGTACACTGCACTGTCTGTTCTGTTAACATTCGTAATAGTGATTTGCTTTCCTTCGTAAGACAAATTCATTCTAGAACTGTTACTAGAGTCCAAAGAAAATCCATTTATAGTCCATGATATTGTCGGTACTGGATTTCCAGTGGCGTTGCAAAATAAAATCATTTTGCCCCCTTCTGTTCTCTGAATCATTTGTGGAAGAGGGCTGATCTCGGGTTTATCTACAATTGTTAAAATAAGACAAGGACAATCATTAACAGATCATTATAAAGAAAAAAAGTAACATTTTCATTTGCCTCAAAAAGAGGAAGATCTGTTTCTTAGAAGTCGAAGCAGTCCCATTGGGGAACAAAATTTGAAACAGTGGAGAGTGCGAATCGTGGATTGATATTAAAATATGGTCAGTTCTAAGCTCGAGCAGATGACAGTATGATGCCTTAAGCTTAAGTTAACGTTACTAAAAAACAAAAGATTGTAACAAATTATAGTATATGGACATAAGGCGCCTATGAAATGGACAAGTTGTTCATTGATTAAAAATACAGCAGTGACAATTGACTTTGCAATTTCAATTCTAATTTTGACTGGGACTCTAACCCATTTACTCCTAAGAATGACTTACGTCTAATTTCTCCTTGAATCAAAAATTAAGGTCATGAGAAGAAAGGAAAAGATCACCAACTAAAAAGCTCTTGATTGTTAAACAGATTATTCTTGTAAGCACCCTAAGAAATGTATGGGGAACAGTATGGAGAATATGTATACTGACATTAGGGTGGAAAGGGTAAATTGACTGAATAAACTGTAAGGTAATACGCAAATGACAAGATGTTTTCCTAGGGCTCTCAAATGTGGTAATGTTTAAGAGGTTCTCATGTTAGTGTAAGATGTTCAATCAACGTAACTCCTGGTTCCTTTAGGACATCTTCATTTTCATTTGCCATCGGCAATCGAAAGAGCGAACAAATTTGAAACACTTTCCTCTTTCCATTTATAAAAAAAATTAAAAGTCACACCGAAATAAACGATAAGGAATCCATTCCAAGAGACACGAGTTGGCCATAAATGATTTGCAATATCCCATGAAATTTAAAATTGGGGAATGTTACTCAGGAGGAGACAATTAATTGGTTAATTCATGGTGATATGAAGCACGCTCTGAAAACTTATCAAGGGCTTCATATCTCAATGAATGCACAGCTGACATATGAAACAGTTGTTTTATATTATTATATATTATTTCAAATAAAATCTTCTATTGCACAATACATCAAGGAAATATCAACAATTGGCAAAGTTTCACCTATGTCAGCAAATTCAGTTTTCGTTTCCTCCCCAAATAGGAAACGTGTTAGGGGATCGTAGTACAGCTCACTCGAAAGCGCTTTCCGTCGCTCTTAGGACTTAAGAGAGTGTCTCTGTAAGAGCGGTCCGGTCGATTTTGCTTGAGACACGGATTTAGTTCATTTCTTGTGTGTTGTAAGACATTCATATACCTATACTAAAACCACAATCCGTTTGATCGGATCTCTTCATTTTTCAGAATATAACGGAAATTAAAATTTACTCGAGCGAAGGCATGTCGTGGCACTTTGGAGGACAATTTACAAAAAACTACGGAACTCAGCAAAAAAACAAATACCACAGCCATGTATATTAACTCTATCTTATCTATCGAGGCGACTTTCGTGAACATCACGTTTAAATCAAGCAAACAGGAAGACTTGAATGACAAATTCTCGTACTCAATTCACAAGGAAATGTGTTGCAGCTAAAGGAGAGAACTGACAGTCAGATCTTGTGAGCTAAATTGGTTAAAAGACCATCGCTTTCCAAATCAGGTATCCTTCCGCTAATGAATTTGGGTACCTGAACTTTCTAGCTATGTTATAAAAGGTATTTATCATATAAACTGCGGTGTTATACAACATTATCAGCCCTGGGAAAAGCCGTAACAACACACGTGAAAAAATACGATAATTTTTCACGTGTGTTTGATATAGCCAATCCGCTGCGTTCACGCTTCTCAAGTCAAGGTCGTTGGTCGAAATTTTCTCAGATTATGGTTGCTAAAACCCTGAATATTCTTAGTGCTTACAGACAGTGACGTTGAAAATTTCCTAGAAGGGGAAGGAAATTAAAATACGAGGAGAAAAACTGAACGTTACGTACTCAGTAGCTTTGGTAATGGCATTTCCCGCGGCTGAGAACGAAAATGGATCGACAACTGGAAGATTTGCCACAGGCCGATTTTGGCCGTGTATTTGAAAGTATTTCTTCTGTTTTCTTCGGTATGAAAAAGTCAATATCTGAGAATTTTGTGAATTGTGTAGCGCCCATTGTTTGCTTTGCAATGATTCGCGTTTTTTCATCTTGGAATTTGTCGCTCGAGCTATCGAGTCGAACAAATTCCATATCTACGTGCGCCCATGTATTATTCTCCATTTGCCATTTTATTTTAAAACATTTCCATTCATTCTTAAAATCTAAAGTTATTTTTCTACCAAGTAAAGTGATCAAATGATTGTCTCTTTCATGACGCATCGTACTTACATAGCACATCCAGTGTAGCAACTTGGGAAGAAGCATTTCCGAGGTTATTGGACGCCATACATTGGTATTCTCCGCTGTCTGTCCTGCTAACATTCATTATCGTCATTTTCTCTCTGTCGTTTGAAAAATCAATCCCATGGCTATTATTTTTATCCATAGAAGACCATTTAACGACCCACGATATATTTGGTTCTGGATTTCCAGTGACGTTACAAGTCAAAGTGACGTTTTCTCCCTCTACTTTTGTGACATTTAACGGATTAAGAGTGATCTCCGGTTGATCTGTAAATAACCAACAATATCTATTACCAAGTTTATCATAAAAAAATTATTCCACTGATTTTTTTTGTGAGGAAAAATCCTATGTGAAGTTGCTCGTTATTGTTGTTTACCGAAATGTAACTGTTGTCTGTAGCAAAATAACCAAAATAGGCAGTTTCTAAGTTATTTGAAAGCAATTGCACAAGATCTAAGTAACTGCCGCATCGGGGATTACAAGGTAAATGCTTGGTAAATTAATAATCCCTCGATACTTAAAAAAATTTAAAGATGGTAAACTAGGATTTAGGATCACATACTTATCAAAATTGAGCAAATAATTGACTCAACTATTTAAATGCGATCTTGTTTAAGAGAAAAGACCGGAAAGACAAAAAGGTTTCTCACATTGGACACTCAGTGTACTAGCGCTGGAAGAGACATTCCTAAGACTGTTCTCCGCCACACATTGGTATTCTCCGCTGTCTGTTCTGTTTACATTAGCTATAGTGAGGTCGTCCTTCGTGAAGGAAATCCTAGAATTGCCGCTTGTATTTAGTGGAGATCCATTCATGGTCCAGGATATTGCCGGTGTTGGTTGACCATCAACAGTACAAGATAAAGTCACATCACTTCCTTCTACAGGTCTGTTATCAGTCGAAGTAATGTTTGGTTGATCTAAATCTGTAATCATCAGCAAGCAATACAGAAAATTATTATAAATCAATACCTTTAAAGTACAATTCTTTAATAAAACGTCGTACGTAGGCAACTGTCGAACAAGAGAATCAGCAACTTCTATTAAGGTTTTCAATGATTTTTTTTTCTGTATGCGTGGGTGTGTGTGCCTGTGTGGTGTGATTTCCAAAATGTGCTTTAAAGATACGGCTGCAATTTTCCAAGTGATGATCATGCAACTAGTCCCTTTTTCGCTCTTTTGGCCGTTAAGTGTGCTCGGCGTATCTCCGCTACTAGCTTAATATCTGCCACCAGTCCTCGCCTGCCATATCCCTCAGTGAAGGATGATCCCATGTTTCCCTCATAAACGCGGTGCAGTGAACAACAGCGGCTGGCTTATCTTGGGCTGAACTTAGGCCGAGAAGTTGTTCTCCACGGTGAAATCCAACCACACTGAACGGCAGACGCTCTCCCCAAGCGGAGCAATCAGTAAGAATCAACTATTATCTAAGTGTCTAAGTGACAAAGGTAAAGACAAACTAAATGATTTCTCGAGTGTTTGTGTGATCTTTTTTTATAGGTTCTTGTACTTACACACTACTGAAATCTCCGATGTACTTTTTCTTTGTGCTCCACTTGGATAAGTGTTGACTGTTAATGCGTAACTTCCCGTGTCCAATCTATTCACTCCCATGAGAGTAATTGATGTGTAGTTATTTGTCACAGTCACGTGTAAGCGATCTCGGTAGGGTGGTATAATGAAGGGCGTGCTATCCCGGGCAGATTTCTCCGCAATGTCGATGGAACCCATTAAAAATGTTGCCCGACGGAATGATTCCTTTTCGCTAAATGTGTACCTCCATTTCAGCGTAACATTGGCGCCTTCCTCAGCAAGGTATGGTTTTTGACGTTCTTCGGTAAACTTCGGCGCACCTGATGATAGAAACGATAACGGCTCAAGCAGTTTTTTTTTTAAATTTATATATATGACTTTACCTTTAACTTCTAACCTTTTTGCTTTACAACTTTCTATCCATGGGATATCCAAGGGAAAATCTAATGCACAATTATTGTGAGAATCTTAACTAATTTGCGCACTTTATAAGAATATTTTGACTTCACTGTTTTTAAAATTATCCACATTTAGTGTTCTTTCTTCAGTACTTTTTTATATATTATATGATAAGCCTAATTATAAACGGTTAAGAATATATGAAAGTCATATATTTGAACTGCGGATAAAGACGTGAATGAAAGTGATCCTCGCAGTAATGTGCACTACTTGGGCAGTAGTGAAAATAAGGCCTGAAAAAAATTCAGGCCTGTACGGGATTTGAACCCATGACCTCTGCGATACCGGTGCAGCGCTCTACCAACTGAGCTAACAAGCCAACTGAGAGCTGGTCATGATGTTGGTTCCAAATAAACCCGTGAAGTGATGAATAAAAATATATTCTAAATGTATGAAAATAAATAAAATTTTCACTACTGCCCAAGTAGTGCACATTACTGCGAGGATCACTTTCATTCACGTCTTTATCCGCAGTTCAAATATATGACTTTCATATAAGACGTCAAGACGTGTCAGTTGAGAAATTTACATACGAGTGGTATTCACACATCATTATTCATCATTCCCAAGAGAAGGACGGTTTTCGTTTCCTCACATTTATTTCTGTCCATTTTAGGTGCATTGAAGCTCACTGTGTGAAAATATATTACAGCCTTAAGACGAGAACTCGACCATTTTCAGAACATGGTTTGTACTCGCTGTTTCATCTCTTCCCGTCACTCAGTCTCCATCACGATAGGCAAAAAATGAATCGCCATTTAAAACATTTTTAACTCAAAAATAAATGCATTTTAGTAAAAGAAAATTAAACGAATTAAATCGGCTTTCTGTCACCGAAAGCGTCATCGTCATTTGAAACGGACGGCGTACAATTTGCTTCAACCAGGGGACTATCACGAGCAAACACGGACGTCTCGAACGGTGCGTATGTAGCGCAAAATCTCGGATTCGTAACAGCGCGAGACGCACAGGAAAAGAGGCCACTCTCTGGTTTCGATATATTTCATAAAGCCTCGTCTGTTACTAATACTATCTTGTCTCGGGGAAATTATGTTCAACTTCGCGTTGATTTTACAGACTTTCTATACACTTCATTAGGCACTTAATTGGACATTTCTTATCGGGTTGTACACCTTTATCTAACAATCTATAATGTTTTCGTGATAGTCGCCGCTTTCTCTGTCAAGCCTCACATCACGAAAGCAGGATACACGACTGGAAACAGCAGGGTGCCTTGGTTTCTATATGGTCGTTGATGATGTGTCTATACATATACTGAGAAACGATCGCTTCAATATTCCGACACGTTCGTTGACGACTACATTGAACCGTCACATTTTCTGAGACGTAATCAAGCTAAATCAAACTTTCATTTTCAGAATCACAACACAATTTTTGAGAAAAGTACAAATTCCTAGCTCCTTGGTAATTTCTATTTGGTAAGGTCACAGTTTTAGTTTTTCAGCACATATAAGCATATACATGATGGTTTCTAACAATGAGATGCTTGTAAACCTTACCTTCGGCAGAAAATAAGAAAAGAGCACACAGAAAGATTGTAAGTGAACCTGCCTCCATTACATTGGATGTCTTTTGTATTCTTTCACATCGATATAGCTGCTTTGATAAGAACAAAAATCGTCCTAGTAAACGTAAAGAAGAGCGAACCTCGCTATGCTGAGAGTCTGTAACATGATGATCCTTGGTATGTACCAATTACGTGTCTTCAATAATTATTGACCAATGGGTCACGCATTTCCGTCGAGCTCGGAGTTCGGTGTTTTAGACTTTTCAGATTAAAGCTATCACAAACCTTCGTTTTGATTACTATAATGAAGGACTCCTGTTGATTTATGAATTCTTTACAAGATGTGGACTTTTAGGCCTCCTAATGCATTTGTCTGATGGAAAACCTAATCGATTTCCGCATGGTAATTTCTCAGACATACATACGATGCAGGGTTTCAGTTGTCAATTACTTTATTTATCGACGTAATTCCACAAGAACAAGAATTAATGGTTTTGTCTCTGTATCGTTGACGGTTTGTCCGTATGTTTGAGAGGGTAAACGCTATTCTGCTAACTTGGAGCGTGGCAAAGCAAGGTCCCATTATAAATCTTTCGATCAGCGATTTCGTCTACGGTGTTTGTTGTTTTAAACTGCAAGACAACTGGCATTGATTCACGATGACACTCAGAAAAAATGACCATTTTCTACCTCAGCCCTAGATCCTTTAAAACAGCTACTACTTCCACGTTTACTTTACCACGGCCATTAAAGTCTAATATCGCAATGCGAGCCAAGTTTTATTTTCATATCTAACTGTTTAAGAGGATAATATGTGCAAAAACTGGACGCAGAAATATGAACCGCTCTTTGCTCCTCTTAAAGCCATTGTAATAACAAGTTCATTATGACTGAATACAAAATTCAAAGATGACAACGACAATTACGAGTTTCTCAAATGAAGACACACTATGAAGCGAGGATATATTCTACAGACAAGCCTTGAATCGTTTTATTTAATGTGGTCGAGGTATCCAAGTAATTATCGTAAGCTGAAATATGAAATTATAAGGAAGAAGCTTAGCTAAATTTTAATATACGAACCAACATTCCAATCATTCCGATATAAAGGCAAGATCCAAAAACTAGCTAAAACTCAAAACAAACTCACTAAAAGACTATTTTCAAAGGATAAAGGAGAACGAACTCTAACAAAAACTATTAGCCAAGTTGGAAAACATGTAGCTTTCTAACGAAGCGTGAACGACGTAAGCCACGTGTTCCAAGGTTGCGAAAACGAGTGATAAAGAAACAAGTGTAAAAACTAGGCGAAACTATCAAAAGACTAGATATTTAGACAAGCTCAAGGAAAGGAACATAGAAACTTACATAAGAGTCCCGCTTGTAAGAGTTTGACCAAAACGAACTTCAAGATAAGGTGGGCAAAAGGCGCTCTTCCCGTACACACGTCTTATCATTACCCCATAGCAAGACAACTAACTAAAACGCGGTTGTAGGTGGAACATAAAGATCACATCCCTAATTGACAAACAGTAACATCATCAATGTCTGGTGGCAAAGGCGTGGCAGCTGTTACAAAAAAAAAAACCAAAATATTGATATCAAATTGAGGAGGCTCCATATGGTTTTTTCTCAATGTGGGCGCGCGCAGCAGCGTAATGTTTTTCTAAAAAATTTTTAATGATATCCCTTTTCTAGGTCACTAAACGTCATCAAAAGGCGATGAGCAAGATTCGGACTATCAGTTTGCTGTAGTAAATATTATCAAAATGATTTTCTTTCTTAGTAGGTAAGACACTGATTCATTTCTACTCACCACTCTTATCTTGTCTCAATTATTTTAACGATAACTTACCTCAGAACCTCTTCCTGAGGGATTTAATCCAGAAACTTCGCTGAAAAATAAAAAAGGAAAGAAAAAGAAAAGAAAACTAAATGAGTACACTTGGGAACACATGACCGGACCATACAGTGTGATTATAAAATTCTCAGTTTTGAATGTTGGCTGTTATTGACATCCGTTCCAGTCGTTGTATGGATTTGAAATCCACTGAGCTCTACCGTGTAACCATACGATTCTGCATCTTCTGAAAGCCAGTACTAATGTAACTGTACATGATTTTCTTTCCTTTAACTCTACAGGCTGAGTTGTTCGGATAATAGTCAAATCAGACTGAAATATTGAAGTTAGTGTACAAGAGACTATTTTTCACGTATACTATTATGTAAATTCATTCTTGTTTCATTTGTGACACTGCATAAATCATGTTATTTAATTTATTAAGTTCCATCAAAGCCCAGTTGATTGGCAAACTGAACGGATAACCTGTCCGGTGATAACTGCCTCTTGGAAATCTTTCTTCCCTGAAAGGAACTGAAGTAAACAACTTTAAGTGCATTATGACCATTTACGACCATGTCATTTACAGCTGTTGCGAGAAAGGTCATGTGTTTGAAAAAACAGGACAGAAGTGGAAGGGACAAGCTCGAAAGGAAATCTGGGTATCCGGTAATCAATTAAAGACAATAGGTCAAATAAGTAAATAAATCCATCTTAAAAAGGCGATGTCTCGTACTTACAGTGACGTTTACTCAGATTTCCTCGAAATCCTGAGGTCTAGGAAGCGCGACTTGAAAATTACCCACAATACCTTTCGGGCTTGTCGTGTGGACAAAGCAACACCAGCGCAGATTTTTTTTTGCGACGAACGTTCTCGAAATAGCTGTATATGCATATGTGATCGTTAAAACTAAGGGGAGAGGGGGGGGGGATTTGTTGTAAGGTAAAGCATGACAAATATGATGTAAAGAAACCTTCCAAAATCCTGGAATGAGTTTACTCATATTCACTGTTGACTCGATAAAAAACATTCAGGTATTAACTGATTTCTTATTATGGCTAACTATAAAATAGGCAGCATTTAGTCACATGTATTTAATTATTTCGTTTTCTTAGAAAACCTCGTCCAATGAAGAAATCTTTCTGATGGGTTCTTTCGTTTTCTCACAATCTCAGAAAAAGGTCGGAATTCGACTATACTCACACTTTTTTTTCATCTCTAAGAATTTTGGTCAGGTCTGCAGATCACAGAAAAACAGGGAAAATTACTAGAAAAATTCCTCTGCAGTGACGCCTTCCATCGGTTTCCTGCACCTTAACCTACATAAAGATGAGTTACCTTGCTGTAAACACGCTGTTCATATCTTACGAAGTGACGTACTCCTGCCCATAGTATGTTGTTACCTGTCATCTCTTCAAGCGTACATGTTCTTCTTTTTCTGTTGTAGCCAACTGGATGACTAAGAACGGTCAACTAACCAGCTCATTTGAAGACAACCAAACAGCTATGTTTCTTTTTACAGTCTGAAAGCGTGCTCAGTGTCATAATTTCATTACTATTCTTTCAAAGAAATGAAAAGTATATCGCATGATATGGTTTCTGAGGTATGATCCACCCAAAGAATTTTTTTGAAGCTCTGAAATACATCACCCAACATTTAGTATTATTTCTGGAAAGTGTTCTTACCTAAAATCAACAGAAATTTCGTTACAACCAAGTGATGCAGACAGTGAGGTGTTAAGAAATTAGAAGACATTAGAACATTGCAAAGCATGGTTAACAACAATATCAACCAGCAAACGTTCTTGATCCTGATTAATCAAAAAAAGGTTTCATTGGAATTAAAGAGTCCTTGAATACGCACTTTAAGGTGCCCTCATCTACGACCACAAGGAGTCTTAAAGCGAGAATTTTCAGACGTCTAAAGTGTGCACTTTAAGCAGACTTAAAATACGCACTTTTAAGTGTCTTGAGGTAAGCGACTCAAAGAGTTTTGAGGTGTGCACTCGTTAAAGCCTAACAAAGCGCACTTGAAAGCATCTTTAAGTGCACTCTTTAAGAATACGGAACGCCCTCGAATCTGAGTTAAGGTTACACTTAAAAGAAACCTTGAATTTGTATCTTAAGGAGTCTTTTGAGAGTCTTGAAGTGAGCACTCTAAAATGTCTTTTATGTACACACTTCATTTTTCCCTATAGCGCGCGCTATAAGTTGTCATATAGTGCGCATTTTAGAAAGTTTTTCATTCAAACTCGTCTAAGTGCATATTTCACCTAACGGAGTCTTAGGAAGGATGCACTTTAAAGAGTCCTGAAGTAGCACTTAATGAGGTTTAGAGTGAGTACTTTAATAAGTTTAAAAGTACTCTCTCTCCCTCTCTCTCTCTCTCTCTCTCTCTCTCTCTCTCTCTCTCTCTCTCTCTCTCTCTCTCTCTCTCTCTCTCTCTCTCTCTCTCTCTCTCTCTCTCTCTCTCTCTCTCTGCAGATTGAAAATAGGGCATTTTTGGTAACTTCAAGTCTCTTTCGGATATCTTGCGTAAATAACATGATTACATCGTCCTGAGTAGTTCAAACGCTTTTATGCAGAATCTACAACACTCTGTTAGAATCTTGCGGTCAACCGTATCAAAAACAATTTTTTACAAATTTTTAAACATTTCAAAGGTTACGAAACTTCCCTACTCCGTGGAAAGTACTTTTTAATTGCATTTCAACTCAAATTTTCAATGATAAGATAGATATCCGACTTGTTTAGCATATTTTGGGCATTCACTCACTTTCCACAACTAAATATTTTGGGAGCAATTCACAGCCCAAAAAAATTTAGTAAGATTGTATGTTTTGTCATAGACAAGAGCTCCCTTCGAAACCTTTCAACATTTTAAAACTTAACTTTGCTGCTCTAAAGTCAAATTCTCACCTAACTTGTAACGATTGAGGTTTAAAACGGTTTGTATGAAAACAACATTATTTTTCCTAATTGTGGCACACAAAAAAACTTAAAGAAAAATTTTTTTCGGGGAAATTTTGGAAGTTTGAAGGGAAGAGACTTTGCCGGGTGACATAAGTGCCCTATTGTACTAATTTTGAATGATAACAAATTCATGATTACCTAAAGCCCTTGAATAAACGTTATGTGTTTGAGTTATTTATTGAAAAAAAAGCTTTTATTCCACAGCACTTGCGTTACCAAATGTTTTTTCCGTTGGC